CGAGTACTCGTATCCCAAGTAATAATATGATAGAATGAATAGTTAAAATGAGAAATAATTAAAAACTCAAATGACTACGAGAAAGGATATGAAATGGAAGGAAGATAGCAAAACTTACCCACATCCAATGTAATCTGGTCTGTGCTTTACACCTCATGTAAATGCACTTACATACAATATTTTTATTTTTTTCACTAAGAGATATAATAAGGAAAGTCACTTTTTCTTTCAAAACTATTTGAAGAGAATTGTTAAAAACATTATACATTTTTAGATGACAAACAATTTAATTAATTTTTTTTTATTTTCTAATATATTTTTTTCGGAGGGTCACAACTTCTCTCATGCTGTAGTCAACCAAAACTGCCTTATTTCGAGAAAAATGGTGAAATACTATACTTTTTTAGATGACAAATAATCCAAGGCCTACTTAGATTGCATACTGGGATATGTACCTAACAAGTTTTAAACTCTTACGTGTTGTAATAAAGTTTTTAGGCCCCTTTTTTCATTTTATTTTTCGAAAAGCATTTTATTTTTTTATTCTTTAAAATTTTAGCATAGTTTTTGGGGCCTCTTTGTTTTCACTAATGATTACTCTACTTTTCTAGTGCCAGCGCGCCCGGCTTCACTCTCGCTTTGTATCGGAAGTTAACTGAAACTTTTATTTTTGTGTAGTTTTCTTTCTTATTTCAATTTTTTGATTTTCGTTGTTACGTTTGTGAAACTTTCTCTTTTAGCAGTTGACACAGTTTGTGGTCTACTATTTAGCTAGCTGCCGGTCTGTCTGGCTGGGCTTATTAAATTGTATGAATGTTCACTCGACGGAAATTATGTTTTTGCAGGATTACAAAACAAACCAAAAAAGAAAAAAAATCTGTACCAAAGAAGTATTCGTAAAACGGAATAGTATGAGATAAAACCTGCCTCTCTCTTTTTATCCTTAAATTCACATTCTTTAGTTATAGACAACAGAAAATTTAAAAAATATTACAAACCATTGTAGGTAGGGTATGTAATTATGAAACCGGAATATTTGCGTAGAAGAAAATGCTCTTTTTTCATATGAAAATAATAAAAATTATTTTATTCGAAGTATTGGCCACCGCTTTCTCCCATCTGACTGAAAATTGTTGGATATCAAGCTAACATAAAAAAAGACTGATGGTAACCATCGAGCCGTTTTTCTACATTTCCGTAAGAAATGAAGTGCTCCTTAGCAAGTGCGCGCCCCATCAGTGCAAGCATGTGGAATCGGAAGGAAGGGTCGGTCCGGTGAGTAAGCAGAGTAGGCTTACAGTTTCGAATTGAGTGCTTTTAACGCAAGGCGAATCGGTTTTCTTCAATGGGTGGAGGGACGGATGTTTTCTAACAACATAATATTGTTTAGGTTACTTGTTTTGGGTATTTTCGAACAGCCAACCGTTTGGTATTAACTTTTTCGACAGATTTTGATATGTTATAACGCACCAGCCTCTTCTGCTCCGACCAAATACAAAATGCACGCACCTTTTATCCCCAACAAGATATTTTTTGCTCTATGGCTATGAACAAATTGCAGTTCCACGCATGCAAATATGGTGAACTTACAAGTCTTTGCTATCTCTAATAAAGGATTACTCATTATATTGAGCAACAAACAGTACAGTTCGGCTAAGAGCTTCCTGCTTGAGAAGCGGCTTAAATCAGTTTAAAAAAAAATTTTTATTATATTGAAACAATTTGTTACCAGTATATCGGACATGTGAAGGCACAACCGTTAAAATATATATACATCCAAAGTTCGAAAGACTTACTTATCTTTATCTACAGTAGGGTAGTTACACTTAAAGAAGTGAATGCGCTTACAACACCAAGTTTGTACTTATATATTAGGTGACCAAGCAAACGAATAAATGGACAAGTATATGCTAGTAATGTGAAGTAATTTATTTAGTTAGGTAAGGCAGGCTTAAGGTTTCGCTCATTTCCGTTACAAAGGCTTTTTGAAATGTTTGAATACTCAAATGAAAGGATTTCAACTGATTTGCGGAAATATGCTGCAGAATCTCTCATAAGCAAACAGGGAGATAAGAATAAATGGTGGAATAGGCAACGTCACCCGTTCGTTTTTTTTTTACTCGTAAATCTAGTCGTTATTCCGTATTTGGTAGCGTGTTATGTAGACAAGCCAAGCTCGGGAAGGTTATTCCATTCGAAGCCGAGTTATTCCATTTTAGGTCAAAAAAACGTCTGAATATTTGTCTTGGGAAAAGGAAATAAACATAGGGATCAAAAGGACTAAATTGATTTCTAGGGGAATTGAAGCCATCCTGGTATAAAATTATTCGTTATGAATAAACTTGATTTTCGATCAATAACTTCTCAGTAACTCCTGCGAAACGTCGTAAAGGTTTGAGACATAATTGATAATTCGTGACGATAACTGATCGTCCTTGTAATCATGTTGCTTCGGAGCACATTGATGAGCTTAAAAATAATACTTCTAAGATGTAATCTACAAAGAACAGAGAAGATCTCCAAGACGTGTACTAATCTAAATTCCAAATGATCGTACTTTTTAAACGGGATAATTCTATGAGCTGATAAGCAAAAGGACAAACGGATAGTACTTTGTAAGAGACATAGAAAGCGTGAAAACCATATCCATGCTATTCCATATTATACGTGGATCGGTAGTGGCAGACTTAATTTCATTAGTATACTGTAAGGCAAACATTAGCAGTTATATTGTTGTTACGTAAGCCAAAGTTTAATCTGTTGCGAATTCAATAAAGTTAATTTATGAAGATTAATGAATGTTTCCTTCTTAGTGTGGACGTCATTTCTAGAGTTTTCAGCATAGAATGTAGTTTTTGATCACTGATGTCATAGATCCACCGTATCATGAACGCAATAATAGCTGTGAAGCTGTGCTGAATCAGTTGCATTGTCAAAAAAGTACATCGCAACTACATTGTACTACATTGTTATTGCAGAAATCTCAGCAAATTTCAGAGAAGTCCGGCAATTTGCTTTGGTTTTTGCAAAATCTTAGATGCGAGTGTTTTACATTTTCACATACCCGAGAGAACGGCCCTGCTTACAATAATTTGTTTTAAAAAATTATAATCTCAACACCCAACCAGCGAATGTACCGGAAACGTACCCAAAAAAACCCTTTAACTTTTCCTTCTTTAAATGTCATTTCAATGACAATCGCATGTTATGAGATGAGAAAAGGCGGGAAATTTAAAATTACATCTCTCGCTCAAATACCCTGCAATTACGCTAGCAATATGTCCACATCTGGGAATCACTAACCTATGTGTGTGTGTGTGTGTTCCCCACAACATGACTTTCATCAAACTTTTTTCCAGCAATTAATATGAGTCAGCAGCCTTTTTTAAGCTAGCAGGTCGAGTGAAACACGATATCTGAAATTTTGTCACTTTACAAAACTGTAGCTGCCAAGAAGCAGCTTTCGACCTTTATATATGAAAAACTCACCTGTGAGTTTAAATTTTTGCAATATCATCATATTAAAATCAAAGAGCAACGATCCAACACATTTTTGGCTGAAGTTGACTTCACTTCCCAAATCCACATAAGACCATCTATCGCACGCACATTATAAATTGATATACATTTCATTAGTTCTTTTGGAGGATAAACTTGTACATCTTCTTTATCTTATTTTTTATTAGAAGCCAAAGCAGAGCCATTAATGATTTGCCATAAAAACAGTGTATAAGAAACGTAAATTCACTCCACAGTTGATTCTGAATGCCACGCATTTCACCATTAGTATGTAAAATTAGATGTAAAACAAATGGAATGTAAATAGCAATGCGCTTCTTAATCAATTCAATATCACTTTTAAGACAACAACAGAAGATGTTGAAACGTTTTCTTATTGGAGTTACGTCAAAATATCATTCAATTCTTTGGCAACTGAAACTAAATATAATTTTACGATAAGTGACAACAAATTGGAGATCCTTTGAAGTGACATAAGTTATTTTATTTCTCTCATAGTCACCGCAAACGTTAATTAGCCCACGTAGCTTCATTTGATGCAATATCGCGAACTTGTCTTAAACTAGTTGCGTTAACTTTATGGAATCCTAGTAAACGTAATTTACGCACTACTACTGGTTGTAGAGGGAGATGCTATGTGAACTGAAGCATATTACAAGATTTTTTCATTAATTTTTATCAATGTTTACATCATAAGAGCTGTTTGACTCGAAACTCGCATAGTTTCCTTTTTTTTCTTAAGGTTGAAAAGTATGTTAATGCGAAGTTAAGCCTGTTGGCCAATATACTTTCCTCTTAACCAGGAGAAATTTTAAATTTGAAAAGTCCTTGATTTGCGGTGCAAATTGCAGATAAGCATTAATAAAAATAAGCAAAAACTGCTTTCGACTGAAGCAATAACACTTCAAAGTTCCAACTTGTTACTGTTAGATGCATTAATGTCTTACAAGCGAAGTTACTATGTTACTATGTTGCTTGCTTCATATGAAATCAACTGCTTCTGTGCGTTAATGTTAACTTATTACCGCTGGAAATAACGCATTTACGATTTAGAAAAGCATAGATAATCAAGAGTGGTTTTTACAACTTCCTTTAAAACACAAGAATTCCTTTTTTTTTTTATATCATTCTGATGCTTATATGTGGTTGAATGGTGTATTTAAGTTTTTAGGCAAAACAAAAAGAAATTAATACGTAGTCAAAAGTGATGGCGAAATCTACCCAACAAATTATAGAAAGACATTCCATGTCCCACTTGCAAAAGAAAAAAACCTTACCACAAAAAAAAAGTAAAAAAAAAAAGTCTTTAAAATCCTTTTCCTTCATTTTCTTAATGTAAACCTAGAATGCAATTTTATTCTCGATGATGATAGGAAGAATTTCTCTCAACCCTTTTTTCACCGGTACTGAAATTTTTTTACCATATCGTATAAAAAAAAAAATGTTCTTTAAAATACGCTTTCACTGATGCAGTCACTTACTCACACGCTTACGCAGAGTGCTTAAGATGTTTTTCTTGTCTGTGGATGGTTTTTCTTTTTCTTGCTTTCAAAGCATCTCCATAATATGAACTCTCCCGAAAAGTATGCTTGCTTGCTTGCATAAGAATTTTTCCATTTATTTTTTCTTTTTTTTCTAGAATTTTTTTTTGTTTATTAATTTTCTATAAGCAAATCCTTAAATTATTGTTTTGATTTTTGTTTATTTTCTTAAGATTTTTTTCTCTTATTTTTTATTTTTATTTTTTTTATATACGTTTTATTCTATTTTCGGTTTACTTTTGCTAGTAAATACGCGTTTCAATGATTTCCAAATATTGAAGTTAACGGGCGTTAGTTTAGCTGCGGACTGAAATCGTTTTCACAAAGTTGCGAACTTAAATAGATAAAATTTTCAACATCTTTGAATGAATAGCATAGAGGATAAAAACTTTTGATGAGAACTAACAAAACAAAAAAAAAAAAAAAAACAAAAAAAAAACAAAATTTATCAGAAACAAACAAAATCTTGTTGCATTTACAACAAAATTCATTTCGTTTTCATACAAGTCAGTCTAGGCTGTTGTTAAACGGATAAAAAAAGCTTTTCTCCCGGCAAATTATCCGTTACCAGGGTTCATTCCCTTATCACTGAGAGTACGAGAGAATTTTCATAGAGAAAAATCATTTCTGTCCTTGAGATAGAAATTCGAGAGAAACATAGAAAGAGCGAGAGAGAAAGAGAGAAAGAGAAATAGTGAAAGAAACGTAAAAGGCGAGAGCAAAAGATAGAGAGAGAAAGAGAGCGAAAGAGAGAGAGAGAGAGAAAGATAGTAGGAAAGTCTTCCGCTTACTTACAATGGCCCCTTTTAATATTCATAACTATAGTGTTTGCCTTTATGTGTAATCTTCTCATAAGTGTTTGTTTTTCTGTTATGCATTATTTAGTTATTTTTACTTTCCTTTGAATTTCTTCTTTTAGTTTTTATTACTTAAACTTGTTGTTGTCTTATATGCATATGTATTTGTATGTAGTTGTGTGCGTGTGTTTATATTTTCGTATGCACGGATTTCTCGTTTCTTCTCTACTATTCATCACCTGTTAGCACAAAACCTTTTCCGTTATCCTTTGCTTTGTTGCTCTCCTTACCATTTACCACAAGATGAGTTTTTTTATACATATCAAGTCCTTGAAAACGGAATGCACACAATTATTAGATAAAAATTGCGTTTTTGTTCTCCAACTACTTTATGCGGTTATTGCTTGGCATTTCTAAACTTCGTAGAATTGTGTGCTAAGCTGTATAAACATAAACGTATATATGTGACTATGAATGCGTTTAAGGAAAGGTCAAAGTCGATTAATTCATATAAGTTTATTTTTCCTTTTTCACCACTTAAGGTCATAATGCTTATGATGCAAAAAAAAATAAATAAATAAAATGAAAAGATTTGTGAAAATGATGTGAGGAAAATCTGTGCAAGTAATGGGTAGATATCTTCTTACAATCTTGATCCGTTTGATTTCAGATGTTTTTCTTTTCTTTTTTTGAGACTATAGATACAACAACTGGTTACCTTTAAGGAAAAAATTTTAACTAAAATATAAACAGCAATTTTGTAGAATCAACAAAGAGTAACCATAAGATAGAACTCGCTTTAAATATCGTGTCGTAACAAGTGTTCTGAAGAGTACACAGTCGAACAAATAGAAAAAAGTCCCTTAACGAAGCACATTTGCAAACAATGTTACTTGAATTTTGATATTTCCAGAACAGAAAACATGGGTCTAGTTTGGACCTAGTAATCGATACAATATGTAGCAATATTGCACTGATAGTAGGAAAAATTTCCGGGCCCTTCAGAGTCGAATAATACAAACTGAACAAAGAAATGTCTTCGAAATCAAGAGAAAAAAAAGTAAAGAGGGAATATATTTCACTATAAAAAAAACCACCAAGTGAATTTTTAAATACGAAAAAAATTGATAGTCGTTATGGCACCCAATACATCAAACCAAGCGGAGATAGATTTTACTGTCGTGGATGTGTCTGGGACTCCTTTTCAACGAGACGCTCTGAGCGTTAGTGTCCGTAAAATGTCCGCTAGAGGTGGGGGGCGCCTTTGCTCCAGTGATGGAATAAGTATTCATCGGTGTATACTGGGAATAAAGTCGAAGACAGTTCAATTTGTTGGAATAAAAGTAGCGTCTAGTGTTTCGCCTCGAATTTTTATATCAATTTATAAACCAGGATAAAGATGGATCCACCTCTTTATGGTTGAACCAAGACAATTCTATTTGCTGGCAGCGTCCTAGTGTTAGTATTATGTTCAAGAAGGAAAAACAATCAAAGGCATATATTGCGCAAACTTTTATCGCAGCCTTTGGATGATGAAATTAGAAAAAAATTCACATTTCGCAAAGAAAGTATTCTTCCATAAAGATCGTCCAACAATCCATTGGGATAACGGAAAACAAAGTGTTGAAGTTCGTATTGCCTTTACACGCATCTTATTCGCCAGACTTAACCTCTCGAATTAGTTTCTGCTTATAAACTTGAGTAACGGCCCTGCTGATGAAAGATTTACTAAAACCGGAGCGATTAATGTCTCTTGTAAAGAGCACGATGGTGCTCACTGCAAACTGGAAAGCAAGCGAGACTACTTAATATCGCTGAGAAAAGTATATAGAGGTGAAAAACGACTAAATTAGGAAATAACGATGTACTTTTCTAAACTTGGCTTTTTCTCAGCCAGGTCGGATATTTCTTAAAATACCATGTATTATTACACTAGGCACTTGAAATGTTGCTTTAGAAAGAGGATTAATTTTAATGAAGGTTTCGTAACAAGAGTTTCTGACTAATGCTACAGTTTCCTGGCACCCCGAGAAGAACTCGACCATTGTAAATAGGTAAACCAAAAGAAATTGAAAAGAAATCTTTCATAAAAGACACTGATTGCGCCAAACAAGATTTACTGGCGTCTTGAACTACAAAACGCTACGTACTGAATGCAATTTTCGAGAATTTCAAAACTTCGCGTTGATGTATAAAAAAAATTGTCTACGTTTTACTGTAACCAAGAGGTAGTCACATCTTTCCACTTAAACCGTGCAAGGAGCTCACAGCAGTATGTTTTTTTATTAAATGGGCTCGAGTAAAGCTGAGCTTTTGAAGTGAAAACTAACAAGCGTTTTTCATTAACCACTTCAGATATTGGCATGAAATTCGACCTAATTTTTATGCACAGATGCCTTTAAGGTTTTACATGAGTACCTGACACGAAAGTTTAATCTCACGATGCCTCACTGACACAACCGCTTAATTGCTTAAGCCACAACTGACCCTCCGAAGAAGCGCAACCAACCCTATGGAAGGGGGCCTTATTACTTCTGTTGTATAAGAACGCGGAAGAGATGGGTGCGAGACATTTCTCTCGCATCTCTGATCAGCATCGGCTCCTATTTAACACTTCTACGATACTCTTCGAAGACCGAAACTAGCAGTAAGACAAGAGAACATCATACTTACTAGAAACAATTTTTCTTTGGGGAACCTGACCACCTTGTGCACCCACTAGTTCGACTGTAAAGTTAGTCTATACATGGGTATACAGCACACTCTCCTTTTTTGAGAAAGCTTACTCAGAGCTAAAAACCAACACAATACACAAAAGTGTTTCCCTGACCGCTACTACTTTTCAGCAGTTTGATGGCATCCATAGTAACCCAAGAGAAAACCCCGTTGTTGGGCTGTAGATACTAACTATTAAACCCCTCTTTACCGATAAAAGATTTAGTTCTTAAAATACACATTTTTAAGCGAATAGTCACGTGGCACCGTGAAGGGGTGAGTGTCAATGGCTGCGTCCGTTCTTCCGAAGTGCAAAACAGTTTCGTCCACCTATTTTGTGTACAGTTAGCATGCTGCCGAACAATGAAATAAAGCTTAGTCTTCGATTAGAATATAAAAATCGATCACAGCCGTGAAACACTAAACATAAAAGGAGGAGTATTACAAAAGAAATTTTAAGGATCGGTACTTAATATTCATAATTGTGTTGCGGGGCAATTAAACTTACAAGTCTACTCGTTGCGGACCGATGTAATTGATCCTCGAATCCTCTAGTCTTCTGAGATATTAAGTAAAGGAAAGGAAAGGCAAAGATAATTAAAATCGATATTTTAAAGGGTAATCGTGACCTTCCTTTTAGAAGTGAAGTTAAGCAATAATTTACGGGGATTCCGTGGCGTACAGCACTTAACGCCCAGTTCCTAGCGCTTCTAGCATATAACCAGTCAGGTGTTGGGATTGTTTTGTCCAAAAATTACAAATGAAAGTATTTTTTTACAAAAAAACAAAACCTGTGGACCGTTACTCCGTTGTGTCAAACTCTTTTTACAAAGTTTATCAGGTCACCAAATATTCTTCGCAATATTTGCTAAAGAGTTTAATTAAAAATTCTTAACCCCTTAATAGCTAACGTATAATAAATTTATAAGCAACGAACAATGTGTCGTAATTACGTTCAATAAATTGTAATAATTTTGCTTCTGTTCGAATTCAATTTCCAATCGGGTTGATTTCATTTTATTATTTGTAAGGCGTATAGAAAGAAGAGTTCATTGATTAATGTTATTGAAAATGCTATTAAATTAAAATTCAATCAAATAAACACTAACAGGTGCACATAAGCATACATATATGATGATGCATTATTAGTTGCCTCGACTGTGTTTTTGTTGTTGTTATATTGGCTATATGTTGCTGGCAAAGTTCATTTAAACTAAATGAAATGAATTGGGGATATCGTTTGCATTGCCTGACAAATAGTCTGATAAATACAACGACAATATAACATACGACACATAGTGAGAGAGAGAGAGAGATAGAGGCTAGAGAGGATATGCATGCAGTTAGGTGGAAATGAACAGCAATCACAACAGCCGTTCGAAGTTTGGCCAGAGGAAGAGGAAGTAAGCAAAATAAACACAGTCACACAATTAGTAATTATAACGGTCACTTTTTAGATACATACATATGCATAAGTATTTATCTACATATGTATGCATGCACGAAACGAATGTCTCTTCATAAATAATGGACCGGCTTTTATAAGCGTATTTATGCAAACGCATAAACAAACAATGCATTGTCAACGATAAACTCAGTGTA